AATTGAGAATCGTATTGGACAAAGCACAGCACGGTATCGCCTCGATGGGCTTATATCTCAATGGCTTGCATACTTGAATAAACCTCGCCGGCTTTTTGGCCGGGCAGCACTTGTTTCCTCGCACGGTGGGCAGTGGCATCTCGGCTGAGGACAATCAACAGGATCAGGAACAATCAATAAATGCGCTGCTCAAGCACACATTTCCACACTTAGAATTTGATGACCAAGACGAACGAACATTCGAGTAGAGTTTTTACAACCCCGAGATTGACCAAATTGAAATGTAACTCAAAGCATTTCGTCGACAGTGTTTAGCAGCCTTGGAGCGGACAGGTTAGAAATCTCAATCAGAATTCGTATTATTCGTATGTAATTAACAGTTGTGTATGTTCTGAGAAAATCATTTGCTTTTATTTTTTTTAAGTAGTCCATGTTCAGTAAATACTAGTGAAATTATAGGTTTTTTTTTTTTTTTCTTCATCCTTGTGTTAAATTGAGCGTTTGCAAAATTATGCGTATTAATTTAATGCAGAATGGGGCAATTTAATTTTATAAAGAAATTGGAGGCGTTCCAAAAGAAACTTGATGTGCCCAAATGGTATTTGGGCCTATCGGACTACCAGGAGCGAACCGTCTTGGAGCTGTGCAACGATCTGCGCGATGACTTCGAGCAGGGCACTTGCTATCGCGTGGAGAAGAGCTTGATGCGCCTGGGCCTCAGTCCGCTCATTACCAAGAAGAAGATTCGCACGATGGTGGTACTGAGTCGAGGTAATGATCTAGCTTTCCTCTTCTTCATACTCGAGGGCTACTACCTGAGCTGCCGCAAGAATGGTGAATACACCACCAACGAGAAGCTGCTCATGATGGCACTGTCCAAAATAGACCTGCTGCCAACACTGCGTGAGCTGGATCGCATCCTGCCACCGCCTCAGCTCAGTGATTTGGAATTGAAGCAGCAGCACCCCAGCTACAATCAGCCGAGACCCTCCAAGGCCGTGGTAACTGAACGACGCTCGACGAAGAAAGTCACCATTCGTCGTTCCACCAAGTCGCCGTATTTCCAGCGCCAGCCGAGGCCCAAGGAAATCGTCGTTAAATACATAAGTAAGCCGCCCAATTTGGTTGCCACGTTCCCATTCTGGCAATTGGATCAGCCGCCCAACTATGGTAGGAACACGGAGCCACCATGGTTCGCCGAGTACAACCTAAATCCAGTGGGTCGACTGGTCAAGAGTATTGTGGGTGAAGCGGTGGACAAGTACTTCAATCACCTGAACCACATCAAATACCTCGAGCGCAGAGCCAGGTTTAGCCGCAGGGCGGCAGCTGCCCTGGAAAGAGCCCTAACTGACGATAGCGATGAGCCCCAGATGTGCACCTACCACAAGTTTGCTGTTGGGGAAACGCAGCTGGTCAAGGACGAGATGACGGTGATGGCTCGCAACCGCTGCCTAGAGCTGATGGACGTGACGCTGCCCTATCGCCAGATACGCCAAAAGCGCATTATAGCCCAGCTGGAGCGTGACATTGACGACTGCATGAAACGTTATGCGTTGAAGATGGAAAGCACAACGGTGCACACGATTGAGAAGTCCGACTGCGTGCTCTGCCAGGAGCAACGCGTGGACCTGCCCGCAGCCAAGCCGCAGGAACAAAAGGGGCGCGCCCTTATTGGGGACGGGCTGCACTTGGCACATACGGAGGTAACCGACAAGTGCATTGGAAAACGGCTGACCGGCGGTGGTTTGATTAAGGAGCCAGTCGAGTTTGACCCCCAGTGGATCCATGCCCGAAATCGGGTGTTAACGCCGAGATGATCCCTGAAAATGATCCGATGGCATGCTTCGCGCCAAAGGGCAAGAGCCAACACCGCATATCCTTCCTGCTGGACGATAGCAAGCTGAAGAGTCTGCGAAAGAACCGGAAGGAGTCCTCTGTGGAGGTGCGCTTTCAGGGCAAGCAGACCAAGAAGTCGTTTTTCGTGGCACCCACCGACCACAAGCCCTACCAATTCAAGTACAAGCGCATTTTCAAGTCGGGCCAGGAGAAGCCGCAGGACATTAAGAAGGTGATCGCCAAGGCCTTCGTGAGTGCGCTGGATAGGGGCGATGAAATGCCGCCTCCGCTGTGCAAGAAGCCATCCGTCACATCCGATGAAGATGCCGAAAAAATGGAGAAGGAGATCAACGGCGTTCGTCTGACAGACAGCTGCGCCTCCATTGGCGACACCAGCGAGCACAGCATTCGCAGTCACGAGAACCACCGGGCCGACATCGTGGACGCTGTGGTGCGCTGCGCCAAGGAGATTTGGATGAAGGGCGTCAGTGTGAAGCGTGCCGAAATGGAGGCTAAGGAAGACGATGACAAAAAGAAGGCCCAGGAGGCAGCGGTGCTCACCTACGAGGTGGAGAAATTCAATCCAGATGATGCGGAGCTCATGAATCGCCTGCTCAAGGATGCACTGGACCAGCTGAAGAAAAACCAACGATTCGTTCTGGCATCCCTGCCCGACGCTCACAAACTGCCCGTGCTGCAGGAGTGGATTAAGCGACGCTACGGCAAGCAATATACCGAGGAGGAGATCCAGAAGAATCTGCTCGAGTCGATCAAAATATTTGAGCTGATAACCATGCTGCAGGCCAATCCGCCGCCGGCTGACTTGCTGGGCATGGACAAGCTGCCGCCGAGCAAGGAGAATTTCGGCTACTGCAAGCAGGCCAAGGCCCTGGTAAGTAACTGACTTGAATCACCTCCGCTGTGCAGCAGCACCCGCTCATTCCTCTTCCTCCCCTGCAGGCCGCCAAGGTGAGAATGAACTACTACAGTCAGCTGAACGACATGTACATGAGTCACATGGGTGCCTGCTGGTACGCCATGGGCAACTACTTGTGCCGCAGCGGACCGCCCCGGAAGACTTTCTACGCCTACATGTCGTCCAATACTCGGGACATCATGCGCAACAAGGTGTGGAACGGCGAGTTCAGAAACATACGACGGTTCCGGGACAGCTACAAGGAGACCCACAAAACATAGAATAGGCCAATAATAATAGGAAACATAAATTTATTGACTGTGAACATATAGTTAACAATAAACGTTAGTGCTAGTAATAAGATCAATAGTTTCTTTTCACGCGCGGCATGCGCTTGCCGGTGACGCCTCTGCTGGCCATGTAGGCCAAGATGGAGCGCTTTGTGCTGGTCTTCAGGGTGCGCACGTCGAACTCGATCTCCCTGTGGCCATAGGCGAAAGCAATGCCCTCCATCTGGCGGATCATGTGTATGACGTTCAACAGCATGATGCCGTCCAACTGCTGCACTCTGATATGCAATTCCAAATCCTCTTCGGAGATCACCAGCGGCTCGGGCTCCTTCCGCAGAGGGATAGGCTGTTGTTCCTGACGTATTTGGGTATTGTACTCGACACAGACTGGGGTGTTGTCCTTGGATTGAGCTGACGAAGTGGAGTCTTCGCTTTGCTCATCGCTGCCGTATTCGCAGCCGCTGCACTTGCCGCTATCGATGGGAATATAGGGCTTCGGCACCTTGGAATACATATTCTCAAATATGATCTGCAGCTTCTTGGCCATATCGTAGCACAAGTGGCCGGGACTTGTGTATAGATAGGCATTGTAGAATATGCGGCGCACATCACTTGCAAAATCGGCGGAGCTTGCGTAAAAATTCGAATTGAGACGATACTTGACGGTCGACAGATCCATCGGGTGCTTCACAATCTTGTAGTAGTCGATCAAGCCCAGTAATTTGGCATCAATGGGCTCGTAGAATATCCAGGCCAAGTGCTTGTACTTCTTGGAGAACATGTTTCTGATTATCGCTTTACATGCGATAATCTCCGGCTTCGGCTTGCCCCGATTCGCTGATGGAAACATGCTGCACATCTCAGATATATGAAATCAGAAATCTGAAATTATAATTAATTTTAAGCTCGAAAGGCTCACAATGTCGCTTGACGTGAAATTCTCTGCGTTCACCTGGTTTACAGGAACTACTAGTTCGTTTCAGCTGACTCACAGCAATGAGTCGCACGAACTAGACAAAATACAAAAAGCTTTCTTCTTCTTCTAAAATTGACATTTTCAAAATATATCTAAACTTGCCTAATAAGTATGCGTGCAAGGTCCAACAAAAATGTTTTTTTGCAAAAAAAGGAATTTAGAGCGATTATATTAAGCTAAGATCATTTTTATGGGGCTTTTATAAAAGTATTCCCCTCCGTACTTTTGTTAATTTCTAACAAATCAATTTCCATTTTATAAAATATTATGTCCAAGTAGAAAAGGATAGTATGTCCTGTACTCTTAAATAAAAAAATGATTAAAAATAAAGTATCGCATATAAATAAATAACTATTCATAATTTTTATCATCTTTCTTGCATTTAGTAAATTAATTTATTTATTTATAATATTATAATTATTTTTTAGTTTAATAATTCATATCATAATATATCTACTTATTTGCTAAATTTATATAAATATTGTAAAGTTTTTGTATTTTTCATTTTTTAACTAAAACAGAATTCAATTATTAAAAATTGGATTTAATTTAATGAAACGTATTTAAAGTTTCCTCTTAATACTTTCATAGTATCGCTTTAGCATTCAAATAATCAATTGTCGAGAGAAATTAAATACAATTTTAAGGCTCTCCTCCATATAATTTTATTTTATTTTATTTTTTTTTAAGCTTATTCTTAGATGTTACTGCTCAAAAAAAATACTACACGCTTAAATTCATATCAGTTGAGAATGTGTATGGTTCTTTTACTTTTTTAAAATGCTGAACATATTAAAATATTAAAATATTATAGTTGGAAGGACGATAAATTTTGAACATAAAAATTTCTATTTAATTTAAAGAGAATCAATAAATAAAAAATACAATTCTCTTCTTACAAAATTTGTATTTCAAAATATGGATACATATATAAATACATAGCCTTTGCAATGATTAACAAAAAACATATTATTCTCCATTAGATGGCCGGCGGCACGGTAAATATGTTGAATCTACAAATTTTGTACACTGAGACCAGCCAACGGTTCGTATGGTTCTGCAGCTCGACTCCAGCGATTTCTTCAGCATTCGAATAGTTTCGCCTGAATCGCATGAAGAGCTCAATGAACACGTAGGGCAACTGAGAGGCGGGATCTTCCAGCTGCAGCTTGAGTTCCGGCTCCATGTCGATCATAGCATTTTTCATGGTCTCCAGATCCGAGCTCTCACAGTCTGCCACGTGCCGCAGTCCGACAAAAACTACATCGATCACAGCATACCTTAACCCCAGTATGTCGTGCAGATGCACATTAATGGGAACTGCCTGGCGAATGTCCTGCTGGCGGAACCGCAGCAGCTCCGAAAACGATTTGTGCGGAAAGTTGACCGCCTCGTTGGCCATTTGGTAGTATACATTCGAGGTCGAGAACTGATCAATGCTTTTCATATCGCGCATGCGTATGATGTCCGTCAGAGAGACGGCTGCCCTCTTCGACTCCTCGACAAAGTCGCGCTCCTTGAAGTTGCGATCCCACGTCCACTTCAGCTTCCACATGCGCAGCTTGCTCATGTAGTACTTCAAGGGGCTGTACTTGAATACGATCTGGGGCACGACCACCTTGCTGTTCACCTTCACCTTGGAGGCATCCGGATTTGGGGGCAAGATGAAGCACCTCTGTTGATGCTGGCACACATTCAGCGATTCCCGCTTGGCAGCGATAGTCCGCACCACGCCAGACCAATTACGCAACAATTTCGTACACATTTCGTCCTCAACTTTTATTTTCAATTGATTTCGAAATTTAATTTTGAAATGACAATGTAGACAAGACCTGACCTACTACATTGAGAAGGCTGACAGTGAACTACAAATCGAGTTAAGTGGGCTAAAATAAGCACTAACAGAGTGACACCAAAATTTAGTTGCTATAGAAACAAAAACGCTCTTCATTCTTTTTTTTTTTAGAATGTTCCCATTCACAACGCATACATACAGACTCTTCTCAGTTCCTCCTCCTTCCCCTTCGTAGACTTGAGTCCATTCTTTTCGGGCTCGTAAAACTCTCTGACAATAGCCTCGACCATTTCTTTCAGTTTATTGTTTAGAGCAGTCCACGACTTATTCTCCGGCTCCCCGCACATTTCGGCGTAATACGTAATCTTGGGCTGAGCTCTACTGGCTTGCAACGTTATCACGAATCCATTGCTGAAATTGAACGTTATCATCTGGTTCGTTTTACTAGAGGGTAGAGTCGCCTTTTCATCGTCCGTGCTGCTGTCGTAGCCCGTCGTCAGATCTCGCACGCTCTCAATCGCATATTCGCCGTTCAGGATACTCGTCGGATACGTATCCTTCCGGCCGTCGTCGAAGGTGCGCAGGCGATTGAAGATATTTTTGATAATGCGTTCGTTATCGAAAACGTGATAGGACACTTGGCTAACGTGATATCCGTAATTGTCGTATATTTCGTCCAGCTTGTCCTGCAATTTCATATCCTTTTCCGACCGCAAATAGGATGCCATTGAGGCCAAGTGAGCAGCGGCACTTATGCCATCCTTGTCGAGCACATTTGTGGAGAGCATGTAGCCAAAAGCTTCATCGAAGGCAAACAGCACATTCCGTCCTTCGTCCTCCTCTTCGAGCACCTTATTACCGATCCATTTGAAGCCGCTCAGGGTCTCATGGAACGCGAACCCTTCGACTTCCGCCATCGACTTCAGTATCTTGGAGCTGAGAGTGCTGGCGATCATGACGCAATTGGATGCGTCCGGATCTTCCTCGCTCATCACGTAGTTCTCCCACGCCCACCAGCCTAGCAGGGCGCCCAGCTCGTTGCTGCTGAAGACTCGATATTTTCGCTTGACCACCTCGGCAGCGGCCATGCAACCGGCAACCGGATCGTTAATCAAGATAAGGTCAGCATTCTTGATGGTCGCTCGTCGCGTAGCCAGGTAGAGTGCATCATCCGGTATCGGCGTGTCTGGGAAGTCTGGATTGGGGCTGACCTGCTCCAGCACAGGAATGACTGGATCGAACTCGATCGCCTTGAATGCCAGCTCAATGTACGGATAACCAACGCCATGCATCGCCGTATAGATGATATTCAGAGGATATTTTTCCCAGTCCTCCAGAAATGTACTGAGCTGCGACTTGAGCGATTCGTAATAGGCCTCAACGATTTGTTTGTACGGATTACTCAGCAATTCGTTAGCGCTTAGGACTTCCTGATTCCAGGAATCTTCTGCAGGCTCCAGATTCTGAAGAATGCAACGCTGAATGGCCGCGTCGTGAGGTGATGTGACTGGAGCTCCGTTTGACCAATAAATCTAGAGATCAAAGAAAGTGCCAAGTAAGAATACAAGAATGGGAATAGACAGAGACAGACATACTTTAAGGCCGTTGATATTCTTGGGGTGATGGCAGCCCGTTACCATTATGCCTGCCAGACAATCTAGCTCAAAAATTGTGAACGGCACAAAGGGCGTAGAGACATAGTTCCCAAATAGATGTACGCGGAAATTGTTGTTCAGGAACACAATGGAACACAACTCCGCAAAGAGTTTGCTATTGTAGCGCGCATCGTATCCAATGACCACGCCTCGCTCAGACCACATGCTCTCATCCGGATATTCCTGCTTCAGATAGGCGCATAAGCCTTGAGCAGTCCTTCGGCGTACAGACATGTTATTTTACCAGAACTAATTAACCACGAACTATGACAGACTTACTGTATGACGACCAGCTCGTTCATGCCGTCGAAACCGGCTCGCATCGGAGCTCGGAAGCCATCTGTGCCGAATACCATCCGATTGTTCATGCAGGCCTGAAGCCTATCGAATATCGATTATCGAATGGAGCATATTAATGATTATACTATTTTATTTCAATTTCAACGTACGTTTCCCAATCTTCTTGTTTGATGGCATCAATAATTTGAGCCTTCGTATGTGGACTCTGATCCCAATCCATCCAATTGCTGATTTGAGCATCGAGAACTCTGTCGCCAGAGTAACAATGAAAGCTCGCCTTACCAGATGGCTCCTGCTGGAATACCGTGTGGAATACCGGGTTGCATGTCCGGCCTAGGAGTCTATTGAAAATGATATCCTGCAATACATTGCGTGATGCGGTCGAAGCCTGTCGCGAATTCTGGTGCGTTTCATACTGCTGGAGGTTAGCTGTGGATTTTCTATATAGTCGAGGCCAAGAGGAAGATAGCTTTGAGGAGAATCTCTCGGTAAGCGTGCGAAGGAACAAAACCATTTTTTAACATTAGAGGAAAAATCTTACTTCACTTAAATAATTTTGACATGTACTGATGAGATCTTTAAAAATGTGAATAAAGTAGAACTGAAAATCTGAGGCGTTGTCAATTCTGCTACAGTTTACTCTGTTAACAGTCACATTATAACAGTATGTTAACTGTTAACTGCTTAACTCCGCCCAGACTCCCTTAATCTTCTTTTGATAATGCACCAAATAAAAAGCCGTGAGGTATTTCTATTATATATATTTTTTACCGAACCAAAATGGTGTTGATTACACTGATAGTTTTATTTCTTAATTTTTTTTACCATCTATCTAATTATCAAGAAATATCTGTTTTCATATTCGTATCAGGCTTGGCTCGTGTGCATCATATTGCATTTGTAGTGCATTTTGAAATAATTTAGAAAAATTTTGGAGAAAACTAAAAATTTGTGGGGCCCTATACATATATGAAAACCCTTCCCATTTCAAATTCATTCTTCCTTGCGCACCTTCAGCCCATTCTTTGCGGGCTCCAAGAACTCAGTAATAACGCCATCCATCATTTTGTTGAGTGTCGTTGTCAGCTCGTCCCAATGCTTGTTTTCGGGCTTGCCGCCCATTTCGGCGTAGTACTTGATCTTTGGCTCGGTTCCGCTCGTTCGCAGTGTGACCTCCATGCCATTCTTAAAGACAAACGTTATCATCTGGGAGGACTCACTGACTGGCAGAACTGGCTTCTTATCGGGAGTGCTACTGTCGTAGCCCGTGGTGAGGTCCCGCACGCTCTCCACCTCGTACTCCCCGTCCAAGATGTTCGTCGGATAAGTGTTCTCCTGACCGTCATCGAAGGTGCGCAGACGGTCGAAGATCCTTTTGGTCAGTCCACTGTCGTTGCACATCACGTAGGAGCCAACAGTGGCATGGAATCCGTACGTCTCGTACAAGTCCCGCAGTTTCTCCTGCATTGTCATACACTTCTTGCAGCGCAAGTAGCAGGCCATGGTGGCCACGTGCGCCGCAGCTCGGATGCCATCCTTATCGACGACATTGGTGGAGATCATGTAGCCGACGGCCTCCTCGAATCCGAAGAGCACCTTTTTGCCGGCATTCTGCTCCTCGATCGCCTTGTTGCCGATCCATTTGAAGCCCGTCAGTGTCTCGTGGTGCGTGAATCCCTCCACTTGGGCCATGGACTTGAGCAGCTTGGAGCTCACTGTGCTGGAGATCATCACACAATTGGCTATGTCGGGGTTCTCCGCATTCATCTTGTAGTTCTCCAATGACCACCAGCCGAGCAGGGCGCCCATTTCGTTGCCGGTGAATATTTTGAATTTCTTATTTTCATCGAGCTCGGCGACAACCAGGCGATCCGCATCCGGATCATTGGCCAAGATGACTTGTGTCTTCTTCTCATTAGCTCGTTCGATTGCCAAGCACAAAGTCTTCGGGTCTTCCGGATTGGGCGAAGGCGCCGTGGGGAATTCTGGATCGGGCGCAATCTGCTGCAGCACAGGTATAACGGCCTTAAGGTTTATCTTGCTGAAGGCCAGCTTCACATACGCATAGCCAACGCCATGCATCGGTGTGTAGGTGAAGGTTAATGGGCAGTTGCCGTTGGCCTCCATGAGTGGGCACGATATCTCCTTCTTGAGCGAATCGTAATAGGGCGGCAGAACGTTGTTGTATGGATCGGACAACGACTCGTTGTTGCAGAGTAGCGTCTCATCCCAAGAATCCGGATGTGGCTGCAAGTTCTCCATTATGGCATTCTGAACGCCCTCGTCGTGTGGCGGTATTATCTGCGCACCGTTACTCCAATAAACCTGCAAACGCAACACGAATTGTGATAGCGAACATACATATATAGCTGATAGCTGACTCAACCAGTATACCTTATAGCCGTTCTCCTGCTTGGGATTGTGAGATGCCGTTATCATCACGCCGGCCAACGAGTTCATCCTCATCACTGTGTAGGGCACGAAGGGGGTGCCGACCATACGCTTGAACTGATAGACTCGAAAATTGTTGCTCAAGAAGACAATGGCGGTCAGTTCCGCAAACCGCTGACTGTTGTACCGACCATCGAATCCAATTACAACGCCGCGCACGGCCCACTCAGCTTCGTCCGGGTATTGTTCCTTTATGTAGGCACAGAGTCCCTGACTGGTCCTGTGGAGCAAGAGGTAGATGATATCATTCACATTTTATACACTCATTAACACAAACGATTCTTACTGTATGATGACCAATTCGTTCATGGAATCAAAACCCGCTCGCATTACGGCCCTCAGTCCAGCCGTGCCGAAGTCAATGCGTCTGCAGAGACGACACCGCAGCCTGTGAGGGAGGTTGAAATTGAGATTGATATCGAAATTGAAGTTGGTCAGACGGTCAATCAATCTGAAGCTTACGTGTCCCAATCCTCATTCCTGACTGCCTCCATTATTTGACACAATGTGTCCTGGTTGCGATCCCATTTAACCCACTTCTTAATTTGGCTGTCGAGCTCCTTATCGCCGGAGAGCGGCATGTTCTTCAGCTCGCATATCGCTTGGCCCATTGATTGACACATCGTGAACAGTCAAAGAATTTTGAAATTAGTTAGAGAGAAAAAAAAATTGTTATTGTCGTACAAAACAGTTTGACAAAAAAATAAAAACTAAAGCAGGTCCATATTTCGGATTATAATTGGAAGCTGACTAGATTTGGATTTGATAATAAATGCCATGTATATGTATATGGGGTGTAGTTGCAATGCAAGTCTCTCCTCTCGAATAAATAAATGTAGTAATTAATTTCCCAAAAAGAGAACAAATGGGATTTCCATAATATCTTAGACATGCAACTCACATGATTTCCTGCACAATTAGCGACTCGACATGGGGGACTCACAGGGACAAAGACAAACGGCCCGGGGACATCGTTTTACACGCATGTACTCTTGGCTCGGCTAATTAAATATGTTTGTATTTGGCAAACATATTTTCCAAATAGTTAATTATTCAAATGGGCACGCAAAAACAACGAACGAGAGCCAGAACCAGAACCAGAAAAAAAAGCATATTTCCTCATAATGAACAAGCAGAAAAACCGCACTAATTGTGACTCATAATTAGAGACATGTTAATTGCCGAGCGAAAAAAAAAAAAAAAACAATATATATATAGGGAGGGACAGAAATGAATAAACGAGGAAACAAAAAGAAAATTAAAGAGATAGTAAACGGGCGGACAGTTGTAATCCAGATTCGCGCAGTTGAAGCTGAAAACTTTGGCCAGGCAAAGTTTGTTCGCTGGTCAGCAGAGAACTTGGCCACAGATTGAATTAGTTAATCTAATTTAAGTATAATGTAAACAGGCCACTTTCTTATGAAGGGCCCCCAAATCGAAATAAGAACGCACACAAATGCCCAACAGTCGTCCAACTTTGGTCAGCCACTAATGTCAACTTTTTAGCGTGGGGCGTGGCGGGGCGGTGCGGGGTGGTGCGGTCGTTGTCTCTCGACTGGACAAACAGTTTCGGGCGCAACTAACCTAACCATACACCCGCCCATTCAGTCAAGCTCCGTCCCGCCGCTACTCATCCACTCATCCAGTCATCCACTCAGCCATTCATCCAGTTTAAAGTCATCCTGCCCGGCGGTTTGCATAAATTTTGTTTTGCAAATATTTCATTTGCATATTTTCGTTACGTTGTTTTGCTGTTTGGTTTTGTGTCCTTGCGTTACGTTGCGATCTTATACTATATATGTATATGTGTTCATATATATAATTTTATTTTTTTACCCTTGCCTGAATATATCCAAGTTGCCAAAAGACAAAAATATTTCTCATATGCATCGATTTCAATATGTCTAAATGTTTTTATTTAATTTAAACCATTTTCCACTGTTTTCTCTTTATTTATTTGTTGGTTGGTAAAAAGGCCACTCGCAGCTGCCTCAAGCAAGGCAGTCAAATTCTGAATTGGTTTATCTTTGATTGGCAGACTTTTGACCCATTTGTATCTATTATTTGGCTAATAATGCAAATACAAACAACAAACAGAAAGATCGAGTCGTGCTAGCTGGAAATAATTGAATGTGTAGCAGTTAAATACCTATCTATATATCTATACATATTTATGGAATATGTTAAATGTATATATATCTCATTTTTCCTAAAAATACATATTCAAATTTAAGCTATGTCTTCGCAGGATAATTATTTCCCTGCCTTGTGTTGTGCCACAGTCAACAAGTAAATGTTAAACTGCGTGCCACTGTCAACTGTTAAAATTTCCCCAGTTGCACTGTTAACTTAACATCCACAACTCGCTCGCTCTCTTTGGCGCTCTCACTCTCACTTGCTGTTAACTCAAAAACCACAACTCTCGTGCGCTGTTAAAATAACTCTAACTGTTAACATAGCAGCTGCTGTTAAAATGGGGAGTTCTCAAGACGGGGTTATTGGCAACAATTTGGCGAGTTCAGTCCTCAACAAGCCTTTGAGTAAGTTGGTAGGCGAGCTCAGAGCTGAGTGCCAGCAATGCTGCATTCAGTGGCGCTGTGCCCACTAGAAAAGACGTCACTGTAGTCCAGCTGGACACAGTGAGCGCAGCTATTTGAGCGACCTTTGACACGCATTTGATTGCATCGCTCATTAATATAATCGGCGCGATATGCAAAGTACAAGCCACATACACACGCCTTTGACTTGGCAATTTGACAATCTGACTGGCGGCAGACAACTCCCATGCGTTGCATGGCTCGTTTCTTATTGGAAATTATGCATGCACCGGCAACAGGGAGCCTAACCGGCAATTAGAGCTACGCAGAGACCGGGCCTCGATGCGGCTAAGTGGACTGGGAATCAAAGCGCGCGAAGCAAGTGCTCCCTTCCCCCTGTGCTTGGAGGCTGTGCCCGCCTCTTGCTGCAACATTATTTTTATATGCCTCTTCGATTTTGCTTGAAATTTTTCTTTTTTCTGTTTTCCTCTTTATGGACGACTTTTTTCTTAGTTTTGTTGTTTTGTTTCCACTCTTCTCGTATCTGCATCTTTTAACATGATATTCCTTTTAATAATGCCAATTCATTGACAACTCTTCTGCTGG